GACCTCATCAGGACTTGAACCCGCGACCTTCCGGCTTGTAGCATAGCCCCTCAACCAATTACGCTACCGCATGCCCCCTATATATATATATATAAGTTTTAACATAGAATACGTGGGTGAATGGGTGATATGAGTGTAATGAAATACTGGAAATACAGAAGAGTTAAAAATTTTGAGAACGAATCTGACAAATCAGAATTGCAGCTGTGAAGAAATTAAGAGCAGAGTAAATTCAGGGAATGCTTGCTTTTGTTCATTTGAGAATGTTTTTCATTGTGTAGGCTATCCTAAAACACAAAGTTTAAAATATACAGAAGTATATTTTGTTGTTTTGTGTGGGTGTGAAAGTTGTTCTCTCACATTAAGGGAAGTATATAGGTTGAGAGTGTTTCAGGACAAGAGGAGGGAGGGACAGAGGGAGGAAGTAACAGGAGGCTGAAAAATGTACATAATGATGACTTTCATAATTTGTACTCCATACGAAATATTAGGATGATCATATCAAAGAGGGTGAAATGGGCAGAGCATGTGGCATGTATGTTAAAGGAGAGAAATGCCTACAATGTGTTGGTAAGAAAACCTGAAGTAAATGGGGGACTTTGTATAGATGAAAGATAATACTGTCATGTGTACGAGTATTAGCGACTATAGATGGGATTTGGATTGATGAATACTTTTATTGATCACTTACAGGTCATAACTATGAATACTTAAAACACTATTTCTGATTTCCACACTACAAATCATTCAACACTAAGTCTCCTCAGTTTATTTCCACTAGGCTTTACTTAGTAACGGCTCTCCACAACGGCTGTTCCTCTGCCGTATCTTTACTACACATCTCCTGGTAAAAAATTTTAGCAATGGAGATTATTCTGCTTCCATTGCCCACTGGTTAACACTCTATAGGTGAACCCTCAACTGACTACTGTAGTCAAGTCAAAGTCACATTGTGACTGACAGTGAGTCAGTCAATAAGTCTGGAATTTATGACCAGATATTTATTACTGTTTGACAGTTACAGTCTTGTTTTTGTTGGGCACCCTCACTAACTAGAAGATGAGTCTGTCTTTTTTAAACGCTGCTGGCCCTTGCCAGCAGAGTCTTTCTCAGATCTGAGCCCCTTGGAACTCAAGACCACATTTTACTGTCTCAGATATGAGACTTCCCTTTTTGTAACCTCCTACAACTCGCAGGGTCATGGTGGAGGTATTTGACCCCGCCTCCCGGCTCATGTATCATCGTCTTCAAGATAACTCCTCAGCATGGACCCCGCAGAAAACACAGCCTCTGTTGTTAGAACATGTTTACCGAATTATTGCATAGCAATGGTCACTGCGCGGACCTCATAGAAAACAGTTTCTCTATTGTTGAGGTTTGTTTACTGAGCCGTTGCTTAACAATTGGTGTACATACGAGTATGACAGTATTAAAATTGATCTGACTTGGGGTTTCAACGCCATCTAAGTGTAAAATAGATCATTGTTCCCTTATTAGGAAGCAAAGAAAAATGACCTAAACATTATGAAAGCACACTACATAACAACAAATACAACCTAAACAAAATTATGAAACACCCAGACCCACAAAAACAAAAGCAAACTACTAAGATGGACCCACAGCATCTAAAACTAAAATGGGCCACGTTCATGTACGGCAGAATAGAAAAAGTGAAAATCACCATAGCAGATACCATGAACATCATGCAAACACACAGAAAACGAAAACACCAAACACACTGGAAGAATACTAGATGTACATAGTCAGCAAAGATAACCTACAAATGAATGATACAAACGCAGATACACACAAGCCAGTATTCAAAACATTGCAGGAAACAAACACAAGATACGAGGGGATACCCAAAAGAAACTGAACTTATTTTTTTTAAACTTATTTATTCAAATTTTAAGCACAAACCTTCAATCCCCTTCAAAGTACTCTCCACTTACACTAATACACTTGTCTAGTCTTTTATTCCATTTTTCAAAACATTGTCTAAATTCATCTCTTGAGATGCTTGACAGCGCCTCCGTCGTTTTTTCCTTCACCTCAGCAACATCAGCAAAANTCTGACTTGGGGTTTCAACGCCATCTAAGTGTAAAGTAGATCATTGTTCCTTTATTAGGAAGCAAAGAAAAATGACCTAAACATTATGAAAGCACACTACATTACAACAAATACAACATAAACAAAATTATGAAACACCCAGACCCACAAAAACAAAAGCAAACTACTAAGATGGACCCACAGCATCAAAAACTAAAATGGGTCACGTTCATGTACAGCAAAATAGAAAAAAGGAAAATCACCATAGCAGATACCATGAACATCATACAAACACACAGAAAACGAAAACACCGAAACACACTGGAAGAATACTAGATGTACATAGTCAGCAAAGATAACCTACAAATGAATGATACAAACACAGATACACACAACCCAGTATTCAAAACATTGCAGGAAACAAACACAAGATAGTTGCACACAACACACCCCACACCACACACCAGAGTTAGCAACACATTTGATGTCACGAAAATACCCAAAACAAATGATAATAACTACAATCGACTATGAACACTGTGAAGGACTATGATGACCGATGACAGCTTTGATGACTGACCAGCACAAAGCCTTTTTTGTCCCAACATGAAAACTCTAGTCAGCCACAACCAGTAAACCGAACAAAATCTTAAGTAGCGTTAGATAACTGAAATATACAGATACACCTTTAAAAAGTTCTAACGTTAGTGTATCACACATTATAGAAAAGGAACCACGTGCAACCCACATAACTAAAAATAGCAAGAGGAAAAAAATGCATTACAGTGAGCAGCAGAGGCCTAAACTGCTACAACCTGTACACCTGAAGATGGCCATTTAGGCCAAAACATGTAGTGACATAGTGTCTAATAAAGGAACAATGAACTACATTGCACTTGGATGGTGCAGAAACTCCTAAGTCAGATCTACAAAGTGCAACAGGATTCTGAAATATAACATTATTAAAATGGATCTTAATAATATAACATAGGAAGGTATGGACTGGTTTCATTTAGATCAGGATGTGGACTTTTGTGAACATAATAATGAATATTTGGGTTTCTGAAAATGCTGTGAAATTTATGACTGGGTGGGTAACTGTTAGTTTCTTAAAAGGGTGTCTGTTCCATGTAGTCAGTTCATTGAATTTTTAGCAAGACCGTCTTTAATTCCATAGACATCAAGTATTGTCAAACACTAATTATGCTATTTTAACTCAGTTGTAATGCATTGATAGATGTTTGAACTGTAGCTGCCCCAAATCCTGACCTACTGAGGTATGTCTTGGCTTTCCTTGGGCATTCCACATGATTGTCAGGTTATTACCTGAAAATAGCCTACAACCATTATTCTTTACCAAAATTTGGTACACGTTTCACGTTCCCCTCATTGGAACTGTATATGCAACTTTCTTTAGTTTAACTACAAAATCTGTATTAGGGGAAGACCTTGAATTATTAAGTTCTTACCATTTAATAACCTCCATTGCTAATTTACACATTTAATATACTTTAAGGGAGAGATTTTTTAAAGCAGTCCAAATCAAAAACTTGTGGATTGTTTTTTTTCCCTGTAAAGGTCTATGTTTTGCATCCATTAAATGCAAAATGGGTATTTTTGTTAAAGTTATGTTATTCTGTAGTGCTTGTGGAAGTAGATGAATACAACTTAACTAAATGATGATAAGAATTCCATTAATTGTTCCTCTGAAATGTTAGTTGACTATCAGTGGACTATACAGAATTTATTCCAGAAGATAAATAGTACTCTTCATATTTGATGTGATTTGTAACCTGTAATTATAATATGACCTTGTTGCAAATCTTGTGACATTCATATATTTAGTTGTATCCATATTGACTTTTAATGGGAAACTGCACTGAAGCAATAACAATTCTGATTTGTATTTGGGAAGTAACCACTTTGAATCTTGAATGTTACACTGGCTATCCAGGCAGGTTTTTTGCTCTTTTCCTTAGTCCCAGTGGACAAATGCCATGAAAGTAACTCAAATTAGGTCATGACTTTATCCTATCAAATCCTCTCCAGTTCACTATTCACTAATCACCCTACAATTCAATGCTATGTCATCTGAGATATTGACTGCAATTTTAAATAAACCTTACCTAAGAACAAATAAGACATTTTCTTATTGTGCAGTGTCTTTAATGGTTTGTATGAAAGTCCACCCATTTTTTGTAAGGTAGTTGAAGTTTCACATATTAAGTGAACATCATTAGCATGTACTGAATGTTCTTTGGATTGTATTTATGAACTTGCTTTGAAGATACACTTGAAGAATGTAAGATTTGAACATAAGTTTGTTTCACTATCTCTTTTATTACCAGATGAATGATGTGCATGATTATGGAAATTCGTGGAAACGACACTACCTGGAGCGTCATTTGCAGGAGCATATAGAAAAGTTAGGCCCAGAGAACTTTGTACAATCAGAAATAGAGAGTCTGGTCCAACTGTGCTCCCCATATGTGAAGCGGCTCAGCATTCAGCAGTTGCAGGCCCCACAGCCACCTGAGTTCATAGATGGGGATCATTGTGAGTGGCCCACTGAAGTCAATTCCATTGACCATATCAGCCTTCAACCATTCATAAAGGGTCTGGTCAATCTTGAGGTACAGTGAATCTTTCTGCTGCATAATGTGTCATTTTTCTGTGACGGTTCCAGAATTAGTTGGTAATATTAGGATAACGGTGGTGCTTAAATGTACATTTTTGAATAGGGAGTAAAAATGTAAAGTAACAGACCATGGAGGCCCATAGGCCTGTGAGCTATCAAGGCTCCCACATTCTTTGGACTGTCGGCTCGCAGATGGTAGTAAGGTTGTCAGCCTTACATGCTCTCCACCCTTTATTCCCGGGAAGATTCCTGGTACTCATTTCTGTTGGAAGTTGAGTCATCCCCAGGGCCATAGTGTGGCTGGAAGGATTAGGTCAGTTGGAAAATAAAATATCATCTGGAATAAAACCCAAGACATTCCTTTGAATATGGAATAGATTCTAATAAATGTTTTGAAGGCCTTGGCTTCAGTCATTTCTATGTGCAGTCTGCATGCAATCCTCTTATAGAAGATTACATCCAGATACTTTACATGACTGTTGAAGGGGATATTCCATCCATTCATTCTAAGATGAGCCTCAGGGGCCCTAAGTCTATAAGGAAAGTGGATGCCCTAAGTCCTCTCCTCATTTATTTTTTATGTTCCAGCACTCACACCACGTCTCAATAGCACTGAGACCTTGTTGCAACTTTCTGAGAAACCCTCTTTGCAGTCTATCATATATATATACAGGTGTCATCAGCAAAGACACCTAGATAGGCACCAGGTGTTTGGGGCATATCATTTATATATATGCTGTACAGTGTGAGGGACAGGATGGAACCTTGTGACATCCCTGCTTGTACAGGTTGTCTACAGTGAAACACCCCAATTTTGAAGATGTTTTGAAAATAGGCATTCTCTATGCAGGTGGCCACCACCCCATCACAAACATCATTTTTCTCTATTCATTACTAGTGAGAGGTGTGGTTATAAGATAGTAAAATTAGGATGATGGAAGGTTAACAAGGGGAATGAGATGCATCCAATCCAGGTTAGTTTCATTAAAGAAGTCTGCTTTAAGAATTTTTAAAATAATTGTTAACTGTAGCACTTTTTAGGAACTGCACGTCATGTTCGGAGTTCGTGGATGTGGTATGGACTTTGCTTGGATCTTATTTAAGTTCTCATTGGTGGACTGCATAAACATTGGACTTGGACTGAACTCAGCAAACTGCTTGAAGACTTTCAGGTAAAACCAGAACAACAATCTCTACATGTTATATCCAACTATTTCACAACTTAAACTTCTTATGCCATAATGTATGTTGTGCTTATATCATTATATTTTAGATTAACAAATTTTATGTGTGAAGAAATTTAGTTGAATGTTGCTTCACTCAAAGTGTTTACTGTTAGCTAAATTTGTATGGTCTCAGCTTGATTATCTTACAGTTAAACATCCCCCAGTTACATTTTTCCTTCAGTTCAAGAAAATCATTGGTTGCAATTTAAAAATAATTAGCTATTTGGTATCATTCCAGAATTCATCGTAGTACATTGGATGATGCTAGAGTCTCCATTCTTCTGCAGCACATAATGAGGAACACAACCATTAACAGGCTCGACTTTTCACATTGTGAAATTGGTGATCAGGGTGCTCTGGCTATAGGAAAACTCCTGACTGTCCACCCAGCACTTGAAGAACTCATATTATGTAATAACAAAATAGGTAAGATTAACTGGCAGAACTTACTTTCAATGCAGATGAAAGTGTCAGAAAGATTAAAATGAACTGACACCTAAGTGAGATTTGAGATCCTCATAACAGAGTCTATAAAATATACTCTCTTCTGGGATGTGATGCCATGTTATCCTGTAGAAGATTACTGAAATTTCAGAGGACACTGCTTCCATTTTTAGGATTGAAGAGTAGGCTGCCCTGGCAAGCAAGCACCAAACAAACTCTGCTTTCTTGCATGACATATTTTTCTAACTTTAAGATGGGAGTATTACATTCCTCCAGAACATCAGTGAACTTTTAGTACCATCTTTATGATTGATTAGTAAGCTATGCAAGCAAGCACCAAGCAAACTGCTTGTTTGCATGGTTCACTAATCAACCCTGAATGTGGAGGCACTACCTTCCTCCAAAATGTTAGTAACCTTCTACCAGACTATAAGCCTGCTGATACTTTTTGGTCAGTGTCCTTCACTGTAAGCGCATGAGAGCGAGTCTATGCTATGAACTTGCTTTGTCTGCAGAGAGAACATTCATAGGCTGGCACTGGCAACTGGCACGTGGGAAAAGCACACAGTATCTACTAATAACAGCGATCCTATGAGCTCAACGTCTACCTTCTTACTGAGCCAACATAATGTCGCTGCGCATGCTCACTAATCTTAGGCTTGCTGACTTGCATCAGACCCCTATGTATCAGAGATCCACCGGCCAAAATTGACCATTCCATGGCATCATATTCCAGAAGATAATTTGTATTCGTATTCATATTATTAGAGGGGGTGGGTTTCCCCATGTACTTAGACCAGTTATTGGACCATTGTGAGTCCCCCTTTAATTTCTACTGTCGCCATACCCTACCAGTAACGGTGCATGCTATCAGCCCCGTTGAGCCAATGAGGTCGGCCCTCGGTACCTTGATGCTTCCCCCCTCTACCAGAGGCATTGGAAACTACTTGGGTGGGAAATTATTGCCTAACTAGTTTCATGGGTATCCCAAACTCTATTAGAATATTGTACAATACTTCCCTCCTAACTGAATTGTAGGTTTTCTTGAAATCTATGAATAGCTGATGTACTGTGTCATCATACTCCCATTTTTTCTTCAATATTTGACGAATGCAAAAGATCTGATCTGTTACGTCGAAACCACACTGATGATCCCCAATAAGACCACTTTTTTATATGCTCTTTAATTTATTATTCACTAGTGATCCCATCATTTTATGCTAGTACATTTCAATTATTTAAAGCACTGTTAAATGAACCAAGAAAAAATAATCAAAATAGACAGTGGCCCACATTTTATATGGTCTCAAGCTGCCATTGATCTCAGTCATGTGTGTAACAGCACATGAGCACCTTCTCTGCGCCTGTATGACTACATCTTAACAGCATTTATATTATTAGGTGCTGCTGGAGCTAATGGGCTGGCCTGTGCACTGTCACATATAGCTTCACCACTGAAGTTGCTGGATCTTCGACTAAATCATATCGGTAACCAGGGGGTAACAGATCTGTGTTCAGCCCTGGCAAATAGTGAACATCCACAAGAGCTGATCTTGGCTGGCTGTGGCTTTACAGAAGAGACAGGCATTAAGCTTGGTCAGATGTTGCAACACAACACCACTCTTCAGGCACTGGACATCAGCAACAATAACCTGGGAGAGGTAAATTCTTATCTTATACTGACAGCACAGGAAGTGTATGCCTAAGAAGAGTCAACTGCTGTATTTGTATGCATTACTTTTCATATTAAGGAATCCAATCAGGAACATTTAACATAAATTAAACTAATTTGAATATTGTACCTACATTTTATTCACACCATACCTCATATCTCAATGTTCTGGAATATGGCAGCGACAGTTCTTCTACTTTACATACAAGAGACTTCTGGGATAGACAGCAGCATTTCCTCCAATACAAATGTAAGAGCCATATAATTATGACTTGTGCTTCTGAGATTGGCAGTGGTATTTCTTCCACCACAAATGTTATGAGCTTTATCTGTACGATTTAAGCTTCTGGGATTAGGCAATGGCATTTTATCCATTACACATAATGGCTATAATCAAGGTATACAAAATGTATACAAAAGTATGCAGTCTACACAATATTTTGTATTTAAAACAGAGTGGACACTATCGTATCAACATGTTTATACTGACGTAACATGTTTCGACCCTTATACTGGGTCGTCATCAGGTGTACAATGATACCAGACTCAGTTGTTGAATTGCATCTCATTCTTCAATAAGGATCCTTATTGTGCACTTGAGTGTTTTTAAATGCATAAATTTAGTTTTTCAGTTAACATTTTTAAATACTCAGATAATAAAATTTAAAAATAGAGACTAAAGATTAAAACATAAAAATTAAAATTGTACTAAAATGGAAATTAAGTACATATTTGGCTATAAATCTCTTTAAAACTTTGTGACCACTGCATGTTGACATGATTTTCTGGTGGTAGAAGCAATTTTAGTGTGGGGCGCCTGCATATCAGGATCTTCTCACAGCACAACAGGATGCATTCTATTAAGATAATGGCTATAATGCCATATCTGTTTCCTGAAATTAGGAAATGCCATTGCCAACACCACAGATGTGATGGTGATATCTCCATGACTCAGACTCTAGAACCTTGCTTGTGAAAATATGGTGAACCATATAAAGGTAAGATTGGCATGAAGGTAGGAGAGAATTTATACTGTACATTCTGTCCTCTTCATCCCCTCTGCCATATCTGGGTAACTGGATTTGAAGTCAGTTCAACTGTGGTGGTTAATAATAATAGGGAAATGTTGTTGAACCTGATGGTGGAGATGGAGGAGACCTCTGAAACGTTTATTCCTCAATATTGACATGGCCGATCACCCAATAAGATTTTAATAAAAATATATGATGTTCCAACCTCTTTGTGTAAGAATTATAAATGACCATTGTATACCAGTATACCAACTTTATTTCTATATGATGTAATCAGTTTCATGTGATTGAATCACATGACCATCATCAAGTGAAAATTGCATACGTAATTATATAATAACTTTTATTAAATTATAACATGCTTATAGTTATCCTTGCTTGGAGACAGAAGAGAAAAACAAAGAGAAGATTGGATTCTTTGTACCTTTGAATGGACAGTCTTACTAGCAAAGTTTTGTTGTTGATAGTTTGATCTGCCTGGTTGTGAGCTTCCTCTAGTTATGTACTTTGACAGCTGTCACTTGTGCAACAGGATGTCTTTTAATAGTACTGACTCATTGCCAGTCTGTAACTGCACATGATTTCTTCTGATAGTGGGCACTGCTATGATGTGACACTGCCAGAGACCGAATCAAATAGTTTTCATCATAAGGACATGTATTGGCTGGAACACCGCAGCTTGGTCTGGCTGATCTAGTACTTGCTGCTAGGAAGTGGAAGGGAACTACCTGCCACTAGTATTGTAGTGTCATGTGTATGAGTGTGACTGTAAAGGGGACTTGGACTGGTGACCGGATTTATTGACTACTTATACACAACTTGTATCTATCAGCAATTATAGTGCCATTGCTGATGTCCATACTTTATGAATTACTAGAGCACACACTCAGTCTTTTTCAGCATGGAGTGTGTTCACTAATTGTTTCCTGGTAACGGCTTTTAACAGTGAAGATTCTTCAGCTTTCACACTCATGCCATTGCCAACTGGCCACTGTCTCATAACTGAACCAAAGTCAAACTCAAAGTCAGAGTTACTTTATGACTGGTGGTTTACTGACAATCGGTTTGTCTTGGCACCAAGCCCCTTGAGGCTAACGATCAGATATGTTTTTTTCAACAGAACCCTTGTGGTCATAGTCCTTATAGTAACAACCTCTCTGAAGAGAAGGTGGGTTTACCTGTTATGAATATGCTTGGCCTTATGTCAACTGTACATATCGCACATACAGCATGTTATTAAAAATTCTTCCTTTTGTAGAGATCATGTCTAACTTATGTATCTTATGCTACAATGGCAACTTAGTTCTAAACTTGTCACATTGATAATCCCTTGGCACAGACCACATTGAAAACACCATTCACAACAGTTCCTCTAATGTTGCTTGTGGATTTGTTGCTGTTAGAAATTGGTTGTTTCGTGGTTGCTACCTAATAATGGGTCTACATGCTACGATACTGAATGTGAATTAGACTTGTGATCTCTTTTGTCCCCCAACATGAAACACTGAATTAGGTCAAAATAATTTTTCATTCAAGGCTAATGCAGTTGTACAGTACAGATGCAATGGTTATATCACTATAACTTGGTTTTGAATGATGAGTCATTATGCATTTACACTATATGTACCAAGATTCAACAGGTCTTTTTGCAAAACTAATACTGCTAAAAATTTATCATTTAGATGTAGATAAAGTTTGTTGTAATAATTTCTCTCTCTGTTTAGGTGGGAGGTGAAGCCCTTTCCCATGGTATCAAAGATAACACAACTCTTCTGAGATTAGATTATCGAATGACTGGGATTACGCAGGAAGATGCATCATCAATAAACATGTCATTAAAAAGTAATACCAACAGGTACAGAAGGAAGCAAGAATGTTAATACATTCATGTGTGTTCAGATGTGTACATTTGGTACATCAGCTCAAATGCAAAGTTATGAGGCTTGGAGCATAAATTTATCAACACTTACATTGGTAGTTTGTTTACATTTACGTTTATTTTCATTTCATTGATCCAATCCTTTCCCCGTAGGGCTGGATATAAAATATGTCACATATTACAAGTTCATGATAACTGTTCATCATACATTTAATTCCAATCGATCAGCAGCCATAACAACAAAAGCAGCAACAGTCTTCAGGAAAAATACCCACCAGGACACCAATGGTCAGTCAATGCAGGCTAAAAATATAAATATTAATGAAATAAGAGACGTTTTCCTTGCCTTCGCTATGGTGTAGCAGATTACGACAGCTCTCTGGTGCTGCAACAGAAAAAGGAAAGGTTGCTGTCATAACTAAAGCTGTGTTTGAACTCTGGGAGAATGATGCTGACAACAGTTCACAGACCTCTGAAAGTCATAGCATTCAGTGCTAACAGCATGGAAGGCAGGCCTACGAGGTCAGGAAACAGTTTGGAGACTTAAAAATAGACATGGCCTTGTTCTCAGAGACATGTCTGGAACCTCATATGAGGTTCTACATTCCAAACTATGGTTTTTTTGGACTGACTGTGAAGACAGGCACAAAGGTGAGACTGCTGTTGCAGTTAAGAAAGGCATCCCTCACTCTTGTGTGGACTTACCCCTCTCCTATCAGTAGAAACAACAGGTGTCAGCATACCGATTGGACCACCAAAATGTTTCTTGCAGCTGTTTATAGATCTCCACAAAGTCTTTGGAGGGATACAAACATCGCAGTGCTATTAGGCTTTAGAAATAAGTCCATCCTGGCATGTGACCTGAACGCAAAGCACCTTGCTTGGAATACCCCTCAGGCTTGAAGCTCTTCGAATTGTTAGTTCTGACTTCAAAATTTCAACTCCACGGTGCTCTGCGCATTACACACCTGATGGTAAAGGCGATGTTCTTGACATTGTAGTACATCATAACATCCACCTGTCAGGTTATCATCACTGACATTCTAGACTGGGATCACCTACCGATAAACATTCTGAACCCTGTTAGAATGAGGGAAGCTTTAGATCCAGTTGAAAACCTGACACACTGGTACCTTTTTCAAAGCCTCACCTCTGAAGACATATTTCCAAATATCAAAATTCTCTTTTCTGATGAAGCTGATAAAGCAGCACATGACTTTTAAACCTCTGTAGCCTCAGCATACAGGATACTGAATAGAAAAAAGTACTATTTTAGACCAAAAATACAAAATATTTACCCTGCATCATTTATTAAAGCATAAACGAAAGCTCAGAAAATGGCAGTAAACTGGGTCACTCAAAATGTCAGGAGAATGGTCTGGAAAAAGGCACATCAAAGATGGGAAACAGAGTTAGCAAACTGCATAGTCAGACCTCAAGCAATATTCCTCTCTAAAAGGGGTGGACCAAGGCACCATCTGCAATTCATGGTCCATTAGCCCCATATTTTATCCAATTGATAAAGCCAAATAATTGCAGACTACTTATAAACCCAGTTCAGAGCACATGACTTGTGCGACTGTGACTAGAGGACTAATGGAGGTTCAAATCGAAGCACTACTGGCTATCATCAATGACAATATCTGTGTTAATTTCTGACCTTGTGATGTCTCAAAAGAAATGAAATCCTTGAAATTAGGAAAGGCCTGTGGTTTTGATGGCATTCCAAATGAATGTCTCTGGCATCTTCCAAGAAGAACTCTTGTGCATTTAACATGTTTATTCAATCACTTCCTGGTACCTCGGAAGGAGATAAAAGTCATAACTGTGAAAACCTTTCAAAGACCAAAAATTTACATCCTATCAGCCTCTTTCCATCACAGGCAAACTATTTGAGAAGCTGATTTTAAGAACCATCCAAAAACACATTGAGGAAATAAACTTACTAAATGAGAGTCAGTTTGGCTTTCGAACAAATCACAGTATGACACTTCAATGTATGAGGCTGAGAGATCACATAACCCTAGATTTTAACAATATGTTGACAGCTGTTTTGTTCTTGGATATCGAGAAAGCCTTCAAAACAACATGGCACTCTGACTTATATAAACCCTGAATGAGCAAAAAGTTCCAAATAGTAGTCCATAGTCGTTACACTTCCCTCTGGACCTGAATGGCAACGCGCCTCATGATCTATTTCTCCACCCACCTCGCTTGATCAGCCTATCACCTAAAGGTGGAAGCAATATATTCCTATACCAGGTTACACAACATTATGAGTCAAGAAACATGCTTTATAAATTCCTATGAAGAACATCACCTACACTCATTGTAAACGATATATAACTGGTAGTGCTTAGCCATAGGGTTGCCAGCCAGTACTCAATTTAACAGAAGCATTGAACTGAGTAATACTCTATAGGTGACCTGTGGTTAACTACTTATCATTGATATCTAGGAGGGCCTTTAAGCAACCTGAAGAAGTTTCACTGGCTGTCTTGGCCATGCACACAGGAAACCTGTGACTGCAGTCTAAAAGACAGCTATGAAACCATTGCAAGAGTAATGCCGATACCTGATTCATGACCAAGGACAGGTTTAGAAACACTTGTAATGAAAAGCACTGAAAAGGTTGGCGAGGGGGTGTCAATCCATACATGTATTTGGATGATGCTTGATTCGATCTCGACCGAACCATTGTACATACTGCCCGATGTCATTGTTTTCGCAATCCCTTGGGGGAAATGTCAGGCTAGGATCATGCCTAGGCCAGTTCCTTTCAGATCCTACCAAATTCATGAGTCATTGTACAGTTCAATGCTATATCGTTTCGATAATGAAAGCATCAATTAACAAAAAAAAATGCGGGAAACAACCTCAAAATCTTTTTAAGATCCTGAGAGTGAACAGGGCGTCGTAAACATTGCCTTGCCTATCAAAATTCACGGGTCTCCATCCTGCTACTTTCCCCACGTTCCCCACCCTGTGTTCTTGCTTGGCTTATTCTTTAACCTTAAACGTGGAAGCATCATGTTCCACCGAAATGCCGCTTCACTTTCAATGCACTGCACGGGTGCGCAACGTTATAACCTAAGAGACAGAATTCTTTCCTTAGGCTTGTTGCAAGCACGGATTACTTAGGCTGCAGGAATGTTCCGTGCCAGGGACTTTCACAAGCGGGAATATCCAGCCATGGATCCTCACATTGTGGGTTACATTAAGCCCGTTATGCGCTCCACCTCTCCACTACCTTCGATTCTTATAACAATTAATCGATTGGGATGTGTGGATTTTTACGATAGTGTTGCGTGTTAATACAGGATATATTTTGATTACGCCAAGTATGTAACTGTAACATTTTAAATTAAATTGATTTACTGTATAATATAGGGACTTGTCAGGAGAAGTCAGCAAATGAAGCGGTATCATAGGCGATCATAAGTGCTGTAGGAAGAGCCGAAGAATATGTCAATCATTTAGTTCCTGATGTTTTCACTACTTTACCGTATATAACCAATACGAAAAATGATCGCCCGACCAAAGGCTGGAGAAACGGAGGAAGATATTTTGAAACTTCAAGAGGAGTTCTTGAGGAATAAACAGGCTACACCGTCTGCTCCTGTCATTAATAAACGAAAATCTGGAGAAGAAAATAATCCAAATTTAGGTATGTATACCGGTGATTTATGGCACGTGGTGGCACAAATTCAGTAGTTTGAGAACGCACTTTTAGTGCCCTGTACGTTTTAAAATTTGACCAAGAGCTAAAAATTTGGAATAAGGAACGTTTCGAATGAAACTACTGCCTCCATTTTCAGAGCAGGATTTGGAGGCAGTTCTGCAAGTTTCACACCCATACAGAACCACAAGCAAAATTGTAGTTTTGTGTATTCTAATTTCACAGAGAAAACTAAGTATATGTTACTGTCTCGTGACCAAAATGCGGGACAAAATCATGACATAAAGATAGGAAACAGATGTTTTGAAAATGTGGCACAGTTCAGATATTTGGGAACAACGATAACAGATCGAAACCTGATTCAGGAGGAAATTAAGAGGCGATTGAACTCGGGTAATGCTTGCTACCATTCAGTCCAGAAGCTTTTGTCTTCTAGTCTGCTGTCCAAAAACATAAAAATTAGAATATACAAAACTGTAATTTTGCCTGGTTTTGTATGTGTGTGAGACTTGGTCTCTGACATTAAGGGAGGAACACAGACTGAGGGTGTTTGAGAACAGGGTGTTGAGGAGAATATTTGGACCAAATAGAGATGAAGTGACAGGAAACTGTAGAAAACTGCATAATGAGGAGCTTCATAACTTGTACTCTTCTCCAAGTATAATTAGAATGATCAAGTCAAGGAGGGTGAGATGGTCAGGTCATGTAGCACGAATGGAGGAGACGAATCTGTATAGGATATTGGTGGGAAAGCCAGAAGGAAAGAGACCACAGGGAAGACCAAGACGTAGATGGGTGGACAATATTGGAATGGATCTTAGATAGGATGGGATGGTATGGATTTGATAGATCTGGCTCAGGATAGGGACCAGTGGAGGGCTCTTATGAACACGGTAATGAACCTTTGGGTTCCATAAAATGCTGGGAAATTCTTGAGTAGCTTCAGAACTGGCGGCTCCTCCAGAAGGGCTCAGCTCCATGAGTAAGTAAGTAAGTAAATAATGTTTTTAGACAGTAGATGAGAAGACAAAATATTCTTGACTGAATAGTAGCAAGCATTACCTGAATTCAGTCTCTTAATTTCCTTCTGAATCAGGTTTTGATTTGTTAGTCACTCCCAAATATCTGAACTTTACCCCATTTTCAAAACATCTGTTACCTATCTTTATTTCATGATCTTGTCCTGCATTCTGGTGATGAGACAGCAACATGCACTTAGTTTTCTGTGTGTTTACTTCTAGACCAACCTCCTTACTATCGTCAGTTAAAGTTTGTGTGTTTTTCTTTATGATATCTATATTATCACGCAGTAGATTCACATCATCAGCACTACAGCCACTNATATTCAGGAAACATGAAATATTCAGTAACCAATATCAAAAGTGAAAAAGTTTAGACTTAATTTTGCAGGCAAAGGAAAGTCTGAGTAGGATAGTGTTGTTCATTTGTTTATTTATTTATTTACTTTATATACATGGATCATTATACGTGATATAGGAAAAGTAAAATACTTTACAATACATTAAATAATAATATACTAAGATAATAATAAAATGATGATCCTAATAATAGAACTGATATAATCGTTTAACACACAACACTGCTGTACACCTCAAGACCCAGTCCATCTATCCTGGCACAAATACCCTGGTATCCTCAATCCTGTAAAAAAAAAGTACAGAACAGGGTGGTAAGCATTCCTATAACATGTACTAATATTAAAATCTAAAAGTTAATATTCTTGAAATATATGTTTACAAGTGATTAGAGCTGGGATTTGTCCCCAAACAAAAGAAACTTGTCTATACTGTAGAAACAGTGATCAAGTAGGAATGTCCTCAGAGTCTTTTTAAACTTGTATAGTACTGGTATCTCTTTAATATATTGTGGCAGCTGATTTAACATATGAAGTCCGATATTATTGAAATTGTTTTTGTATAGATTCGTATTACATGGCACTATGAACAAGTCCTCTTACAACTAATAGTTTTTGGGGTCTGTATAATAGCTCTCTTCTGCAACCTGAAGATCAGTTGTGCATTTCCTGAATTTCCCCAAAATATCAATCCATATAATAACAAGGATTGAAAATAAGCATAATATAAGGTGCGAACAGTCTCTAAACATGATACACTTGACTACTTGTAAGGCAGAACATATTTTACATAATTTTTTTGTTGAGTATGTGCAGTCCACCTTAGATTCTTATTCAACCACACTCCCAAAAATTTCGTATGTGTAATTGATGACTGTATCATAGAGCTTTATTGATGGGCATTTGACTTGTACTTTTTGAGGTTGATGAAAGGATATTGCTGTTGTTTTTTCTTTATTAATAATTAATCTATTCCTTTCAAACCACTCTGTGAATGCATTTATTGTTTTATTTATTTTCCTTTGAGCATCATTAGCACTATTTCCTGCTATAAGAATACTAGTATCATCGGCAAAAAACTTTAGTCCTCCATGTTCTATGCTGGCTTGTAGATCATTGATATATAGCAAAAACAACACTGGCCCAAAAACAGAACCTTGTGGGACTCCATGTCTTCTGGGTCTCTCTTGCGATAGATAGTGATTTCATTAGTTTCTTTACATCTGTATGTATTGCCACTTTTTGTTCCCTGTTTTCTAGATATGATTGAAACCATTTTAGTACAACCCCTCTTATTCCCATTCTTGTCATCTTCCTTAGCAATATATCATGATCAAGTGAGTCAAATGCCTTTGACAGATCCAGAAATATTCCTATACTTATTTTCCTCTCATCCAATGATTTGTAGACCCTTTCTATAAACTCTGCAGTTGCCGTATTTGTTGATTTCCCTTAACAGAAACCATGCTGTTTATTGTTAATTATGCTGTGATTATTAAAAAATGATAAAAGACTTTTATGTATGATTTTTTGTATTATTTTTGAAAAAACAAATTAGTGAAACTGGTCTATAATTCCCAACTTCTGTATCACATCCTTTCTTATATAAAGGTTTCACTTTTGCAGTTTTTAGTTGATCTGGAAAATGTCAAGTTGAGAGTGATAGATTTATTGTATATGTCAAAGCAGTTGTTATTTTAGGATAACATTTTTTAATAATATACTCTGGAATATCATCAATTCCCATTGATTTTTTATTACTCAATCCTTTAATTATGCCTGCCACTTCCTCTTCAGTAGTTGGGGTTAAGAACATGCTGTTACTGTTATATTTTACTGTAATCACATTAACTTCATTGATTTTTGATAATGGAATGCCACTCAATATCTCTTGGGCAATACTGGTATAGTATTCATTAAAAGACATTGGCTATAGCTTTTGGATCCTGTATATTTACTCAATTCTTGCTTATTTCAGTATTTTTGTTGCTTTTTTCTGTTTACCTAGTTCCTCCTTAACTATGTCCCACATGGCTTTTGATTTATTCCCTGATGCTCTTATTCGCATGTTGTTAGTTAATTTTTTTGCTTCACTGATAACTTTGTTCTATATTTTTTTTATAATGACAGTAGTATTCTTTAAATTATTCTGGCATATTTCCTTCCTTCATTAGACTATTAAGAACCTTAGTCTGTTCCCTGATACCCTTATTCCTGAGGTAACCCATTTATTTTCCTGCTGTTAAGTTTTTACCTGTTTTTTATGCATAGCTATATCGTAATAATACTGTAAAGTACCTAAAAATTCATTGTATGCCTCATTTGCTGAATTTTGTTTAAAAACAAGCTCCCAAGTCTCATTTTCTAGTAGATAGTTTAGGTATTGTACATTCTCTTCCCTGTAAGATCTAGCTATTCTGTATTCTTCCTTTAGTGTAACTTTCCCCTTTTTATTCTTATACTGCATCTGTATTTTTTTT